GACACTTTACCCCATCAACGTCAAAAGTAAATGTAACAAAATGATATGAGGGACAGCAACAGGTTTCCCTGTTACTGAGGGTTTAAGATAAGAGGTAAGGGGTCTCATGGCAGGAAGTAAATAAATCAATGAACATCAACCATTCAACTTAGCAGGTAATTCACTATAAGCGGTGCTTCCGCACAGCCAATGAGTACCTGAAGGGGTGGAACATGACAAAATTCATTAATTGATAGCCAGTTTATCCTGATGACCAATAATGATCTCATATGGGCTGAGACCAACCCCTCTCATGGGTGTGGACCGAAAATTGCACAAAACAGCTGGCAACACATCCACCCACAACACTCTACTCTGGTGTAACTTTGACAATCGCTATTTCAAAGTCAGATTTTGACGCTCAACCTGTCCAGAAGCCTGAGGCCTATATGGACAGTGAAGCTTCAATTGAACATCAACATTCTCATGCCTGCTGCATGACTTGGGCAGAAAAGTGAGTTCCATGGTCTGAATTAATGCATTCAGCGATCTCCCAGCAAGGAAAAAAGCCAGTGATTTTGCCGTGTGCATGGCTGTCCCAGTTTTGTTTGGATAGGCTTCAACCCAACATGAAAACTTATCAACCACCACTAACACCTCCTGTTCTTGACACTGGGAAAATGTGATACAGTCAACCTGCAAGTGTGTAAATGGTCCTGCAGGTGCTTGGGTGTGAGCTGAAGGAGTTGACACCCCAGCTGATTTGTTGTTAGCCTGCCACAGAACAGCTTAGCACAATGTAGAATGCATGTGCGTGGAACATGGGGTTCCACCATGTAGAAGAAAATTGGTGAACAATACTCTGACCACCCACATATTCTAGACTGTGAATTTGTTGGGCTAAATACGGCAACAATACCTCAGGAGCTACATACTTTCCCCCTTTTGTCCATGTGCCAACAGAATCTAGACTCACACATTTATCCACCCAGGACCATACTTCTAACGCAGGAGCATTAGAGTACATGTCCATCAGGGAAGACCGAATCTGCTGTGTGTTGGACAGAGTCAGTGTCAGAGTTTTGGTCCTTTTTTTGTGTTTTTGTTGTGTTACGTTTTCCCCACTAGATGTTGCTCAGCCTTAGTTCTTTGTTGTAATTGGATTCATTGCTTTCACCTGTGTCTTGTTCCCGTTTGGTGTATTTAAACCGTCCCTTTTGCCTTTGTTCCCCGCTTGGTTATTGTTATTTCCTAAGCCCCTGTCGTCGTTAGTTGTGTCTCTCGAGTTATATTTCCTCTGTGTTTTTTCCTAGCGCCCTTGCCTTGTTTTTTTTTGTCTTTTTTGCTCCTTTTTTTCTCTATTGTAGTTTTGGCTTTTTTTTTCGGTTTTCCTGCCCGTCTTTGTTTTTTGTTATTCATTGCCTTCTCATTTTCCCGTTTTTTTTCCCGTGAGTCATTTCCTTGTACCTTTTTTAGATTTTTGTGCACTACTTCAGCGTTTGCTTCGTGGGTTCACCGCCTCCCTGTGGCGTTATGCCTATAACATCCGTTTCTCACGCCAAAGATCCGGGTTCGATTCCCGGTCGTGACAGAATAACCAAGCCACCATGAACCCAGAAACGCTGAACACTCAGGAGCTCCGTGCCACCGTGGCCCAGCATGAGTCCTCCGTACGGCGCCACGAGGCTGCCCTGGCTCAGCAGGAGACCCTGATGGCCCAACACTCCCAGTTGCTATTGACCTCGTCCCTGACTCCAGTCCCCCTAGAGGCCATATCTTCTCATTGTCCCCTCCTGAAAGGGCCGCCATGAACGAGTACATTGAGGAGTCCCTTGTGGCCGGGATTATTCATCCATCCACTTCCCCGGCTGGGGCGGGGTTCTTTTTTGTCGGGAAGAAGGACCGGGGCCTTCGGCCGTGTATCGATTACAGGGGGCTCAACAAGATCACTGTGCGCAACCGCTATCCCCTACCTCTCATGGCCACCGCTTTCGAGGTCCTTCAAGAGGCCTCGATTTTCACTAAACTGGACTTGCGTAACGCCTACCACCTTGTGCGTATCCGGCCGGGCGACGAATGGAAGACCGCCTTCAACACGCCTACGGGGCACTATGAGTACCTGGTCATGCCTTTTGGCCTCACTAATGCTCCTGCGGTTTTTCAAACCCTGGTCAACGACGTACTTAGGGACATGCTTAACAAATTCGTCTTTGTCTATCTGGATGACATACTCATTTTCTCGAGCTCGCTGCAGGAGCATGTTACCCATGTTAGCAAAGTCCTCAGACGCCTACTGG